CCTTATGCGCATGGACACAAAATTATCAGAGTTGGGACCGTTGGCCAAAGGGCTACTATTCGGAGAACCCTTTATCAAGGAGCTCCATTGACAAGTCAACCTCTATGCTACTCTGAACAAGTCCCAGTCATCAATGAGGAGGGTGTTCCGCTCTCACACCCATTGTGTTTTTGGCAGGGCTGGAAGGCAGTGGGGTCGTGCCTCCAGCCTCTTCTGGCCATCGAGCCACTGAGGATCCCGGACACCGACTTTCTTTCCCAGCTACCTCTCTAGGTCCTTCACCTCTCAGAGGTCGGACCGTGGAAGAGGAAGCCGGATGCGTGGAAGAGGCAGAATGCCTACAGGTGAGACAAATTACACCACATGTTCTTCCCAGTCTTTTGCATGCTGGCAGGTTACGTTATTCCATTCGCCCCCAGTCCAGGAGGTACCCCCCTGAACTCCGGTATCTTCAAGAGAACTACAGGTCCTGGTGGACACCGAAATACAGGCCCTTTTCGACAAAGGGGCAGTTCAGTGGGCGCCGGACGAAGGAGGTTTCTTCATCTCCATTTTCCTAGTCAAGAAGAAGGGAGATTTCCGTCCGGTTATAAACCTGAGGAACCTGAACGCTTTCATCTTCTATCAACACTTCAAGATGGAGGGATTCCATCTTCTAAGAGACTTACTGCCCCCAGGGGATTGGTTCACTCGCCTAGACCTGAAGGACACATATCTATCCGTTCCAGTGGAATCCGGATGCCGACGCTTTCTATGCTTCGTTTGGAAAAGGAGGACATGCCAATTCACCTGCCTACCCTTCGGCCTGAGCTCAGCACTATGGTGTTTCACCAAACTGTTAAAACTGGTAATGGCATGCCTGCGCTCCCGGGGCATTCGATGCCTGATATATCTGGACGATTTGCTTCTATTCCGCAAGGACGCCTCCAGACTAAAATCTCAGATGCTTTACACGGTCTCCTTGTTCGAATCCCTGGGGTTTGTGGTCAACCGAGAGAAATTGGCCCTTACACCAATGCAGGTAGTCCAATTCCTGGGATTCGAAATAGATGCGACTCAGTGCATCCTACGCCTCCCTCAGGCAAAGATCATGGCCATTCAAAAAGAGATCCGATGGATCCTGCACCAAGAAATGATTCCACTCAGGGTCCTGGCACGAGTGGTGGGCCTCTTGTCCGCATCTATCCAGGCCATCTTCACTACAGGGCCATGCAGCGCCTGAAAGGAAACCCTCATACGACCAGCTGATTCCCATCACGAACCTCTCTGGTGGCTTCGATTTTCGGCCCGACTCCGGACTTTGAACTAGAATCGGATGTGAGCCTATGGGGCTGGAGAGCGACCTGCACAACCGCCTCCACAGGAGGCCCCTGGTCAAGCACGGAAGCAGGATGTCACATCATCTGCCTAGAAATGATTGCGGGTTCATTCGCAATACGTAGCAATATGGAGCCTTGCGGGTCATCTGCCGGATTGCTGCATCCTGCTGAGAATGGACAATATATCAGCAGTACAGTATATCAACTGCCTGGGAGGGGCCCGCTCACGAGCACTGACGGAAGTGACGAAGGAGATTTACAACTTCTTCCTTCAGCTCAATATCACTCTCCAGGCAGAGTATCTTCCAGGTGTGTCGAACCTGACGGCAGACTGGTTCTCCAGACACTGGAGGGATGCCAGTGATTGGCGGCTACATCAACCGATCTCCCTCGAAGTGGCGCGACATTCACGGTGGATCTGTTTGCTTCCAGAACGAACTTCCAGGTTTCGAATTACTTCAGCTGGCTCCCGGATCCGAGGTGCGCAGCAGGTGATGCCTTCCTTCAGGACTGGCTGTCACAGGGAGCCTATGCATTTCCACCATTCACTATGATCTCCATTCATACTACTACAATTACGGCGTCAACAGGTATCGTTGGTCCTGCTGGCACCTCTTTGGCAAGGCCAGGCTTGGTTCCCGGAATTACTGGAGTTGTCATGTCGGGACCTGCTTCTCCTTCCGTCGACAGGTAAGTCTCTACATTTACCTGTCACAGCACTCTGATTGGTTGGCTTGAAATCCACCAATCAGAGTGCTCTGTGTCATTTTACACAGCGTGGGAAAGTTATTTGGAATTTCCCCACGCTGTGTAAAATGACACAGAGCACTCTGATTGGTTAGCTTGAAATCCAGCCAATCACCTGTAACCTCACCCTTAAAGGGGGAACCTCATCAAGACAGGTACTGTTTGTCATGAGACAGAGAGTCTACTCATTGGTGAACATCATGTTGAATCCCTCTGTCTGCATCTTGTACCTTCTCCAATGTTCCCTCTCATAGTTGGTTTACCCTGACTCTGAACCCACAACCCATTCTCCTCATCCCTCTGCATTACCACCTGTCTGTCATCTGGTCATATCCCTGTATTGACCCTTGTTTCTACAACCTCCGTTTCTCTTCCCAAGAAGTATGGGGAGTATTCAGATGTATTCAATAAAATAGTGCAAAAGGCTGACCACCAAGACCAATATGATTATCTCATTGACACCCATTCCATATGGATGTATCTTCCAACCTGCAAAAGCCAAACTGAAGCATCTGAAAGAATACATTGCTGTAAACTTCATCATAAGGTCCTTCACTGCTCCAGTTGGGGTTGGGATCTCTTTTGTTAGCAAGAACAGATACCCCTTACCTCTGATACCAGAGCTACTGAACCGGTTATGGAAAGCCTCTGTATTCACCAAGATTGATCTACATGGGGCTTACAATCTGGTGCGCATGTGTGAAGATGACAAGTGGAAAATGGCCGTATACCTAACGGGTTATGCCTAGTTATGCCTTTCGGTCTCTGCAACACCCCTGCTACTTTCCAGCATTTCCTTAATGACGTGTTCTGGGATATCCTGGACTCCTTTTTCGTTATTTACCTAGACGATATCCTGATATTTTCAGATACTTCGGACCAACACACTGAACATGTGAAGAGAGTCCTTAGAATGCCTCCAAAACCATAGGCTGTATGTCAAAGAAAGGTGTATTTGAAACCATGAAGGTGGAATATTTGGGGCACATTGTCACCCCTGGCTGTATCCAAATGGATCCTCGTAAAGTACAAACAATTCTTGATTGGCCCAGTCCCAAGGATAAAAAAACAGTGCAATAGTTTATAGGCTTTGCTAACTTTTATCAATGTTGTATATGTTGATTCTCACAAATATACATTCCTATTACCCTTCTTACCAAGAAACTAGACAAGTTTGCATTTGCATCCCAGGCACAAGAGACATTTAATCATCTCCAGAAACTGTTTACTCAAGATCCTTTATTAATACAATCCGATACCGCCAAGGCATTTTTTCTTGAATTTGATGCTTCCAACATAGCTGAAGGAGGAATCTTATCCCAACAAGGGGAAAAGGATGATGGCCTTCTATTACCATAAACTGATTTCCTCAGAAAAGAACTATATGTCAATGTTTAAGTGTGTATTTGTGTTTGATTGTGTGTGTATGTCTGTAATTATGCGTGTGTGTCTGTCTGTGTTTGTGTGCATGAAAATTATTATTACCATTGAAGATTTTATCTGACGGATACACCCTTTTATTTCCTTGGTGAGGAAGATACTATGCTGTATGAGATTGAGCAAAACCTGGCTTGCTCTCCCTATGTGAGTAGACCTATGTTTATTATTTTCTTTTTATGTATAACAGAGAGCACTATATACTGTTTTATTTTTATTTCTATACTGAAGAATTTCACGCTGCAATTAATGATAAACACACCCACTCTTGACACCAAAGCAACCCACTGACCTAAGGACCAGAAGCACCCACATATCCCCAAGTGGGGATCAAACCACCCAGGCATATATACACATCTGGAGCTGATATTCACCAGTCTAGAGAAATATTACACTATATTCAAGCTCTTTTTTATATATACCACGTAGCTCCCTAATTTGGTATAATTAAATATGGCAATTTCACATAAGGATAGCAAATAAGGGATTTATCTATTAAACAATTGAAAGCTCAAAAATAAAAAAGGGCTCTGTAAGTTAGAACCCTTATGTGGCATTTGCATATTTAAATATAGCAAGATATTTCCCGATGGCATCTGGGGCCACACAGCACTCTGTCAGTTCCTCTCCAAATCTGAGGGAGTTAGTAGAGGCAGAGAGGTAGCTGCAAGGGCCAGTTTTCATTGCATTCACCACAAATGCATCTAGGGCGAGTGTGGCTGTGGCAAAGACAGGGGGGCAGCCCGTGGACGGGTTCAAATTAGTTATATTGCAGCTAACGCCCCCATCTTGTGTGTGATGAAGATGCTGCAGGGCCAAGTGGCTGCCTGGCCATTCCGGCTGTACACCCAGCAGTAATGACAGCAGTGCAGCTGTCAGCCTGGCCAGCCCAGGAGGATTTAGGAATGTGCTGTTCTCTCTCTGTATCAAGCTCCCTAAATATAGTCACTATGATGTGGCTGTGCTGGGGATTGTAGGTTATAAACTTGACCGAACAGCTTCTAAATATTGTTGTTTGTTTTGTTTTGTTTTTTTGCATGCAGATTACCTTACTAATAAATAAATATATATTATTTATTAGTAAACCCCACTACTTAGGTTTATTGGGAAGATTGAACTATAAATTCAGAGTCAAACATTATTTGTTTGAGATACAGATGAACATTGAAATTTTGATTAAATAAATTGTAGTTTTAATGATACAAAGCAGTGCATTTTTACAAATTGCTATCATTATTTTATCAGTATAATCAGCCTTTTGTTACTACTAATCAAGACAAAAATGCCTAGAAAAGTATCATCCCTAGAAGAGACAAATAAGGCGGTTTACTAACTTATTCAGAAAAATAAATATTTCATACACCTAATGTTGTGGAGATGCTTATAATAAAAAGGAGGAGTCAAAATAGCAATTTCTAGCCCTTTCAGTTTCCCAGAAAAAATTGCAAATCTTGTGCCCATTTTTTTCCATGACTGAATCCTTCTAATTATAAGGAGGCAAGTTGATCATACTTGGTTTATTGATCTGAGCATAAGAACGTGTCCACAATGGAAATAACTCGACACAACTGATTGTATACGGAATATAACTACAAATGGTACAATTAATTTAGAGACTCCAGGCACCCTGACCACTTCAAATCACTGAAGTGTTGATGGTGCTTGCAGTAATCCTTAAATTACACTTGAGCATTTGGTAAACAAGATAAATTTTTCAGCATGTTTAAATTACAAATATCCAAAACTTGCCTTTCCCACCAACACTTGTCTATCATCATGGTTTTATTCCAAGGTCACAAATGGTTTCTTTTGCCAAGCTTTACTCAAGTCCATACCATACATCTAAACCATTCTCCTCCCCAGAAAAAGTATCTGACAAAGTATATTTTTAGCAAACAACACATAGATTTTGTTATTTCACAACACGCAGGAGAGCTCGCTGCAACTGGAAATATTGATGATGATGATGGTACATTACGCAAACAAATTGTACAAGGAGTGGTATAATGACATATTGAATGTAATTTTGTGTCAGTCTCATCCCAGTCAACACTCTCCAACCCATTTGACTTCCACATCATTAATCATGTAAAATACTAGTTAATAAAAAAATGCAACATGAATGTCTAGTTGCCCAATCAATTAAGTTTCTGGATAAACTATTGATTTTTTAATTTTCATTATTATTGGTATTTTAATTTTCTAATATGAAAGGCAGGGCTGTGCAGTGGAGGATATCAATTCATGAAGAAGTGGTTATGAACCATAATATATAACTTTGAAATACATCACAATAATTGACAGTGCAATAACATTGCATGACAACTCAACAGTAGTGGTTTTGAGTTTAGTTTTGATACGTTTGAGGTATAGATGCATCTACTTCACCCTCATTGTCAATGACATTGACATTAGCATCTGTAGCAAAGTCTGTCTTAACCACAGGATTTAAACAGATTTATCAATACAGAGTCAAAGTGGGATATCATGGTCTAGTCACATTCCGAATCTGAATAAGGACCAAGCTTCCGGTGGGAGTTTTCTCTCTCATCTATACCTGTTTACCCAGAGTAAGGATTGTGTGACTCTGGGGAAGTGAGTGTTATTCCAAACAGTGTCCTTTATACAATTTATTATTTTAGGGTTTATCTGTACTATTTTGCATATTTTTTTGTTACAGGTATTTGATATATTTGAAGTTTTCAGTTACAGTAAGAATCGCATGATATATTTTGCAACATACAGTCACTATTCTTATTATTACATTTAGTGCATCACTTTACTTTTTTTTTTGTATTTGTATTTCACATTTATTTGTGTGTTATTACATTTATCCATCGCTTTACTTGCTTTGTACAATATCAAATGCCTTTGCAAAATCAAGGTACATATCAGCAACTTCATCATGTTACATTCTACTCTGAAAATGATTGTACACCTATAGGTGGACAGATTTAGTAGACTGATTTGAACAAAAGCCATACTGAGAAATTTGACATATTGAAATTCTTGCCATGTGCACACGGCTCAATTTCCCCAATATTTTAGAAAATACAGCAAGAATAGATATGGGTTTGTAGTTTAATGCACACATTTCACCACCTTTTGCATTGGGAACACTATTTTTCCATTTACCATATTGTGGGCAAGGGCGTTGCTAGTTTTCAAGATTGAGTCCAAAGGAAAGCTCAACAGACTACTGACTACTACACTAACAGAGAAGTGTCATGACATTTCCACGCATTTTCATTTTATGTCCTGTCCTCTCTACATATGAACAGTATGTTGCTGATGCCCTTCAGGATCTCAATAAAAGTACAGGCTGAAACAAGCGCTTACTGCACAGCAAGCTATTCAAGGTAATCCGCATGCTATCTAATAGAGGGCAATCTTGCTAGTAGAATGCATTTAAAATGGTGTGCTGGAGCATACTATTGACCACTCCCACCTCCTCATTTTTTTGTGTTTAGGAAGGCAGCACAGGCAACAAATTAGTTGTTAAAACAGATTGTTATGCAAACTAGTATTTTATGATCTTATGATTTTGGATTTTATGCATGTGGGCTGAGAATATAATGGGATTTTTTTTTTTATTCTTTATTTTTACTGTGCAAAAGAGAAAATAGAAACTTGTAACGCCACAACAGCATTACCAAGCTATCAATTTACTGACAGGTAGGTACATTGCCATGGTGTACGACCAAGTTGTGCACATTTTTTATTTTTAAGTCTCAGCAGGCTAAGCAATATGTCTAAATACTTCACTGGATTAAAGATGTGTATCTGCTGGGCACATGTATAGACTATATAATGGAGCAGACAACTGAAGCCAGTATGTAGTTTAAAAAGAACACAAGAAAAGACAAGCTGAGTAAACTGACATTTTGCGCATAACACATTTTGCTAGGCATAGGTGACTAAAGAGTAGTTCCGTGGCAGCTCCATTGCTGTTTGTGTATCAAGATCCATGAAATATAGCTGAATGAATCAGACAGGGCTAGTGCCTATGTAGGTCTTAGAGCAAAGCTTAAATCTGAGATAGCCTTTCAGTCATGACATATACAGGTGCTGCATATGATTACACCAAGCATATAACAAGCATGTAAAACAGAACTACTAAAATTAATAGAACCACTGGAGTCTCGTTATGTAAGCCCTGCAGTCCCCTGGGCACAGCGCTTTGGGATTGCTGTCAAGTGCATGCTTACAAGCCCCTCTATTTTGCAAGATTCGGCTCACTTTTGCTGCTGGCTCATTTGAAGGAGGCAACAGCAGAGTTCTGGCAAGATGGAGAGTCCGGCAGGTACCATTCTGCCAGACCTAGGTCATGTAGGAATCCACATCCAGTGCCCATGGTTTTGGATCCACTAGGGGCCAGCAACTGAGATCCCGGGTGGGGTGACCTGTCCAGGTGTTGGGCTGCAGTGTGAGAAACATCCTCGCAGGGCTCTATGCCCAGGAAGTCGGTCATGGGGACTGGTCCTGATCACTGAGTGCCAAAGTTTGGGCAGCCAATCGCTCCGCTGGTTGCTGGTGTGGTAAGACAGTCCGGGGATGGGTGCTTCAGCCAGCATCGAGCAGTGATGTTCTATCTGCCAGGTGTGTATCGACATGCCCAGTACAGGCCGCGAGGTCGCCATTTAGTCTGTGAGGATTGGGAGTCCGAGAGTGTGGTAGGTGCAGTGTTCTTGAAGTGTCGGATCCCTCCAGTGGGGACCGGGATAACTGTCACCGATCCATAGGGTGGGAGAACGGGACCTGTGAGGGGTGTCACAGGGCTGCTGTGTAGCTGCTAGATTTGGGAGCAGGGAGCACCCTGCTGGGAGCACCCTGCTCTTCTCCCAAGTAGGCCGCAGTCTCCAAAGTTTCACGTAGCTCCCAGGGGCCTCAAAACTCCTGATCTTGGATTCTGCAGTAGCGCTCACAGCCACCTGGTCACTTTGCTGTACTTCGTGGCTGATAATGGGCTTAGTGTGCCATAATTCTCAGTCTAAAGGGTCAGATGTTGCAGGTGCCTCTCCCACATGCGACCGGTCGGCATGGCAGTCAGGCCACGCCCCACCCGTAATGGGATTTATTAAGATTTTTTACTACATTCTCGAAGATTACTGTTCAATTTGTCTGGGAAACATTTGGCCTTTGCAAGTTAACCCTGCTTTATGCAGGTATATATTCAAAAGTGCCAGGATGTTCTCTGGTCCACTGTTTGGTTTTCTCACAAGCCTAGCCGAATAAAAGACCAGAGGATACACAGTCCCCTCTTTCCATGATTTTCTACATTCAATAAAACATATTTGATCTAATCCACTAAATTCACATAACTAAAAAACCTGCAATTTAAAATTTACATTTGTATTTTTTTTTTTACAAACATACCTGTCTATTTGTTAAAGGACCAAGTGCAGTCGTTTTGCTACTGACGTGAAATATATGCCACTTTTTGCAAACCTGAAATAAAATGTGCTATATTTAATAAATGCTCACATAATAGCTTATTTTTAGTTAGCTATTAGAATGTGTCTCTCCTTCTGAACTGATACTTCCTCTTTAAATTGGAAAAGGGTGAAGAAGACTGTCTTTGAAGTCACTTAACTGAGAATTCACTACTTTATCTGCAACCCCTATTGCCATGTGATTTTCTTGTAATCTATTCACACATTTCCCACTGGAATCCCAGAGATCTGAACAGCAACTCATTTCTCAGACATTAAGGTTTTATTGAGCCCAATCACATCCTACCATGTAAAATATGCATGACAGAGAAGGACCGAAACTGCACCAATTTTGAGTGTTTCTGATTCTAATTGAGCTTCTTCTAAGACAGGAATAAATACAACAGCGCCTTCTCAAAATAGATTTAACAGTTCTTTAGATTTGTTGAGTTGAGAAGAAAACAGACTTTTACCTAAAAAAATTTATAATAAATCTTTGCGCATTTAACAAATTAACTATTGTTTAATTTTAGATTAAACTGCACCTTGGTTTTAACTTTTAATTGTAAATTATTTGCAAAATAACCATCTCCCCCCCCCCCAAAAAAAAAATAAATAAATAAATATATATATATATATATATATATATATATATGTATATATGTTGTTGTTATATATATATTGTAACGGCACCCTCAGCATCAAATAGTAAAACCGCCGTTTAGTTAATCCTCCCCTCTCACCATAACGCAGGCTGCATTCGTACCAACTCCAATCATACGAACCGCAAGCAGGGGAATACTCCAATCTCCCGAACGGGACCCGTACGGGTACTTCACTTCCCAATCAGTAAACTCACAAATCGCCGCTAACAGCCGAAACCATATATCTCCCAAGCGGCTAATAATTCCATCCGGCAGTCACTATTTGTGTAGTAAATTCCCCTCCAATAACGAGACCAAGCTCCGCATTGAGGGTAAAACATGAACTGGGTTTACTGTGGGCTACCTGCCCGTATTTATGCAGGTCTCTCACTTGGTGGACACTCCCGTAGGGGACCAAATGGGAAACTGTAATGGCAGAAAGGACATACAGCATTTCAGGACATACAGGCACATAATATTCCCAGCATGCATCATGGATAGCCTGGATCTGAGTGCTTATTATTGGCGAATAGCGCTAAGATCCTCACCGCCACAGTGTCTCCAGTGTGTTGATTCTCAGGTACCAAGTGCTTTTGGAGCAATGTCATGGTTGCACCGGTATCCTGCAGACCACTGACCTCCTTCCCATTTACTTTGACCAGTTGCCAGTGTTGTTGACGGTTATCGCGGTGGGCAGCTTGGACAGGGTCTGCCTCATGTAGAACGCCCCAACATTCCTCCTCCTCTATGCAGTGGGCAGCAGGCAGAGGGGGTCGTTGGTTCCCGCTGGTCGGTCTCCTCCAAGACTGGGCCCGGTTAGCGTTATTCACTCTGGTCGTTTGTGCCCTAGCTGCTTGCACCCAAAACATCGGATGGGTTATGAGTAGTCCCGTGAGTTGAACCGGGGTGGCTTTGTGTAGTTATTAGCTGGAGGGGGTGCTGCTGGCCGGTTCATCGGTGGTTGGTAGATGGTAGCTGGAGGGGGTGCCGCAGGTCGGTACTCCACTCTGGCAGAAGTCTTACCCATGGTACTGCCCAGTTTACAGGCATCTGTGTACTCGACTGCCAGGCGAGCTGCTTCATGTAGAGTGGAGGGTTTACGGTCCCTTACCCATTCTCTGACACCTGGGGATAATTCTCAGCATGCATCATGGTTTCCTCCCCTCTGCCCTGGAGATAATTGAGAAGTAATTCAATTATCTCCCAGGACAGAGGCAAATTGCCATTTTAGATGCGACCTAAAAAACACATAAAAATATATAACTTGACAACTACCGAACATTTCCCATTCGTGTAACATATCCCCAGATAGCCTGGATCTGAGTGCATATTATTGGCGAATAGCGCTCATATCCCATACGCATAGTTCAATCGCCATGGAGTCAAAGTCTATTACAGTTCTTCAGTATGCGATTGACTCCATGGGAAGGCTATCTGGGTTAAGTCCATTCGTGCGGTTCAAACTCCCGAACGGCTGGTGTTCGTATGCCTTTGGTCGATGGAGCAGGGAGGTCGATGGTTTTAGCGGTGTTTATTAAGTACAAACATTATTTAGACAGGTCATGGAATGCCATTCTTATCTCTTTTTCAGTATTGGGAAGTTTCGATTGTATGGGGATGATTTCCACCTTCCCATATTCTTAATGATGTGAGTTGGTACGTGGTTACCTGAGGCAGCTGAAGCTGCTCGAATGCGGAAGGAATGACACGAGAAGGCATGTGGGTTGTGGTAGCCGGAGTAATAATGTATGGATGTAAAACATGAATTGTTTAGTGGTAAGGGGTTTCCCTTGAATGGCTAATAGTGGACAATCTGGGTTGGAAGTGATCTGGGACACCATTAGTTTATCTAAAACTAGGATAGGACATCATCTGGTAGAGGTAGGAAAGTATTTAATTTCTACCGGAGGACCTGTTTGGCTTGTTTTGCTATCGGTAATATATAAGATGTAGTGGTCCTGTTTTTTAATTAGGTGTTTCTTCTGGAGGCATGACTTGGAATCGGATGCTTTCTCCACTGAAAACTCTTTGGGTCTCAAGAAACCATAAAAGGCTAAGTAAGCCACGGCCTTGACAATTAGGTTTGTGGTGTGTTCAAAAGATGACGTGTCGAGAATATCGGAGATACTTTTAAAAAGCATACTGTCATACTGTCTATGGGAAGTCTCTTGAAGGGATGGTGTAATGATAATCTGTGAACGCCTCTTAGGATACTTTTTACTGGGTAGGACGTTAGAAATTGAGTTTTGTTGGGATAGCTGGTCAACATGTGGTGTTGTATACCTGTTAAGTAGAGTTTGATAGTGTTGTATGCTAATTTAAGAGAGATGTGGCAAAAAGTAGTGAAAGCTACAACAGTTTCAACAGAAAAAAAAATTTATTATATGATAATCACGAACAAAACTTATAAACAACTTGTATGCTCTGGAGTAGGCTTTCCTTGTATTAGGGGACAAACCTGCCTGTGCGAGAGACCTACTATGTTGTAATAGAGAACTCAAAGCATAATTAGTTCCGAGAAGCTTGGAGGTTCTCTGGGATGCGGGTTCGCTGATGGATGGAGCCTGAAAAATTCCTGCAAATTCAAGCATGAGAGAGCATCAGCAGCATTATTTTGAACACCCGGAACGTGAATACAGGTTATGAAGAATTGAAGATTAGCTGGTAGCCAGGTCAGTCTCCTTATTAATTTCATAATCATGAGGGACTGAGATTGGCCCTTGTTCACTATATTACAGGTAGCTAAGTTATCCAAAAAGCCTCTGACAGAATGTCCATGCCATTCTTTACCCCAGACATGTGCAGCTGCTACTATAGCATAAATTTCAAATAGCGCTGAGGTGGTATTGAAATTTTCGAGTGAGGTGGTCTCAATTGGCCAAGAGTCGTATAGCCACTCATCACCGAAAATAGCTGCATACCCTGATGCACCTGAGGCATCGGTCCAAATAACAGGGGAATCGTCAGATATGGGTGGAACAAATAGCGACCTGCCATTCCAAGATGATAGGAACAGCTGCCAAATTTGTAAATCAGCTCTAGCTGACTCGTCTAAGGAAGTTGTGGAATCGTCGTCGGGGAGACCGTGCAACAGTGAGAGGATTCTGGAAATGAAAGACCTACCCTGAGGAATTATTCTCATTGCAAAATTTAGTGAACTGATTAGTGACTGTAGCTGTTTCCTGGTGCAAGTGCCTTGTGAGATGCAGATGTTTATGTAAGAAAGAATCTGGTCTATTTTCTCTTGAGGCAGGCTGGCCTGCATAGAGACAGAATTGAGTGTAATTCCCAGGAAAGTAATCACTGTGTTGGGACCTTTTGTTTTGTCCTGGGCTACAGGGACTCCTAAGTCTTTGAACAGAGTGAGCACGTGATTAAGACTGTGGGGAATAAGTTGGTGTGGTTCAATGGTGAGGAAGTCGTCTAAGTAATGTATGACTACTGGACATCTGCAAAAGTTCAGTAGGAGTCAGGTTAAAGTTTCGGCGAATATATCTAATAATTTGGGGCTACTTTTGGATCCGAAGGTCAGTCTGGTAGCGAAATAGTAGCTGTCCTGCCACTTAACTCCATGCAGATGCCAGAGTGACTGATGGATGGGGAGTAATTTAAAGGCGTTAGTGATGTTAGATTTACTTAACCAAGCTGCCTTCCCGGAATGAATGATTGCTTGGATGGCATCGTCAATACTGGCGTATTGAAGGGAAAAGTCTTCTGACGGGATCAGAGCATTAAGGTGTAGGGGATGAGTGAGGTGAAGAAAAGTCAATAATCAGTCTCTTTTTATTATTATATTTCCCTGTGGCGATTCCTAGAGGGTTTGTCCTCCAGGAAGTGAAAGGAAGAGTAGAGAAAGGACGTATCATGAAACCATTGGTGATTTCTTTCTGTAAGAGTTCTTGTATGCTGTCTGGATCTGTGAGTGCTGATTGTAAGTTGGGGCATTCCAAAACACCTGTGGG